GTGGCCAACTCGAGTGACCCTTCAGACCCGGAGGAGGAAGAGGAGGAGGAGGAGGAGGAAGGAGGAGGTCACTCACACACGTAGCTGCTAGGGGAGCCCATGTTCTCCATAGCTCCTAGAGCCTGGCCAAGCCGAAACTGACTGCCCCAAGGTGTGGGGTGGAGGCAGGGTGAGGGGTCCCTGGGGTCACCTGGGCATTCAGACCCCTGCAGGTGTGCCTGGTGCTGCCAGACTGACAACTGCCTCCTTGTCTGCTTGTGTGTGCACGTGGAATCCACAGCTCAGAGGCTCCTGGATGTGGCTGTGCTCGCTTGCTGCTCGGCCCTGGAGAAAGCTCCTGCACAGGGAGGGCCTGGGAGCTGCAGGTGCTGCACAGAAAGGCACTTGGCTTGTGGCTTTGACCTTGGAAAGAGCCAAACTCTCTGCCAAACCCTGAGCTTCTGCCTGGCTTTTTGTCTTGGAAGCTTTTTCTCATGGGAACTCCCATTATCTGCTGCCAGAGCAGCAGCTCCTGGATGAGCCAAGGCCTGCTGCTCCCCCTCTGCAGCTGCACCACCTTCCTCCACTGAGTTTTGTGTCCTAGTTAAATTCTCCAAGCAAAGTACTTGCCTCTTGCTCTTACTTGAGCCCTGCTGGGCTGGCAGTGGTTTGGGTCACCCTGGGAGCAGAACCCCTCGATGTGGTGCCCAGTTCAGCCCTTGCAAAGCCTCAGCCTGTCCCACTGACCACTCAACCTCTGCTTGGCTGTTCCCTCTCCCAGCCTGGGGGGAGGCAGAAGCTCCCAAACGTGGGTGCTTGGCTGAGGCTGTGTCTCCCCATCTGGCCCCATGTCCCACCTGTGTCAGACCCCACAGCCACCAGGGTCAGGAGCTTTGCTGTGCTCACTTGGGTTCCTTCCCTTAAGCCTCCCATGACTGCTTGCAATGCTTCCCTCAGCCCCACAGCCTCTTTTGGGGACAATTCCCTTCTGATGTCATAAGATGTTGCTGATACAGAGTTATCCCAAGGGGACATTGCTCTCACTGCTGTCCCTTGGCCTTTGGGGTGGTGGTTAGTAGGTACTGCCTTTGTCCTGCCCCTTCCAGGGCTTTTCCACTGGAGCTGTGGGTTTCCTGCTGGGTTTGAACAGAATTAACTGAGCTGCACTTGGAAGAATTGGGATTTTTGGGGGTTGGATTTCTGTGTCTTTTTCCTCCTTTGGGAGATTCTCCACCACAGCTGCCTGCACAGGGAGGGTGGTGACAGCAGTGTGACTTCAGCTGAGAGCGTGTGTGTCCTGCTCAGCCCTGGGGACAGCTCCTGCCTGCTGTAGCTGAGAGCGTGTGTGTCCTGCCCAGCCCTGGGGACAGCTCCTGCCTGCTGTCTGGTGGCTTCAGCAGAGCTCACCCTGTCCTGGCTCAGATTTGGCTGTGGGGGACAGGGGACACCCGTGGATGTCAAGGTGGAGCCTGGGGGCTGTGTCCCTCAGGTTTGGGCTGATCCCTGCAGCAGAGCTGGAGGGTGCAGTGCTCTCATCTGTGTCACTTTCTTCTCTAGTCAAATTAACCCTTTGGTTTGTGCAATATTCTCTGTTCTGAACTATTCCACATCTCCCTGAGCCTTTTCTAGCTGGGGTGAAACCAGGATCAATTCTAACAGCTGGTAGTTTTGTAAGACTTTCTCCAAACCTTTTACAGACTTGCAGTTAACAGCAATTAAAGGAATTCTCCGAGTCTCTGCCTGTCTTGAGTGTTCTCATTTCACAGACAACTTTGCTTCCCTCCCACCTGCCTCAGGAGACATTTGCTTCCCTGGAGAAGAGGAACCCACTGTTGCACTGCTCAGAACCATGAAAATGCCCAGTGTGACCCAGATCCTGAGACCTGGCACATCCCCCACGGGGCAGGAGAGATGGAAAATGCCAATCTCCACATCTATTGTTGTGTTAGAAACAATCTTTCAGTGGGAAGAGCAGGGTGAGTCCCTCCCAGGGGTTAGTGAGCCATAGGGGCCTGTGGACACTCCATGGAGGGTCTTGGGGTCATGTGAAGGATGGGACATGAGGGGATGGGACATTAGGGATGGGACATGAGGGAACAGGACGGGAGGAGATGGGACATGAGGGATGGGACATGAGGGGACAGGGTGTGAAGGAATGGGATATGAAGGAGAGTATGGGACACAAGGGTCAAGACACAAGTGATGAGATGCAAGGGAATGGACACATGGGGATGGGATGTGAGGGTTGGGACACAAGTGACAGGACACAGGATGGACATGAGGGGATGGACACAGGTGACACAAGTGACAGGACACGAGGGAATGGACACAAGTGACACAAGTGACAGGACACGAGTGACATGAGTGACAGGACACGAGGGGATAGACACCAGTGACACGCGTGACGGGACATAAGAAATGGACACGAGTGACACAAGTGACAGGACACGAGGGGATAGACACGAGTGACACGAGTGACAGGACACATGGGATGGACACGAGTGACGTGTGACAGAACACGAGGGGATGTACACGAGTGACACGAGGGACGGGACATAAGAAATGGACACGAGTGACACAAGTGACAGGACACGGGGGATGGACACGAGTGACACGAGTGACAGCACACAAGGAATGGACACGAGTGACGCGAGTGACAGGACACGGGGGATGGACACGAGTGACACGAGTGACAGCACACAAGGAATGGACACGAGTGACGCGAGTGACAGGACACGGGGGATGGACACGAGTGACACGAGTGACAGCACACAAGGAATGGACACGAGTGACGCGAGTGACAGG